CCATAAAGTGACCTTTGCCACATTAAGGGCTCATTTGAAATAATTGAATAAATTCAAAACCAGCTTCCCTATTACCCTATCTAAGCATCACAATGGACATATTGGACTTTAATGGCCTCTGATGATGAAATGATGAATATGTAAATTGGCTGTTATCAGTGCATCAGCGCTACAGCTACTTCCACTGATTAAAGGCGGGTGACAACTGGACGTGTGCATGGATTCTGACCACTGATGACCAAGGAATGACCGCTGGTCTTTCTATCAGATACAGATCCCATGCTGTGTACTGACCATAAATCTTAGCTACGTTTTACCTGCTCTCACCTTGCTGGGTTTTTGAATGAAGATAGGGAAGTGAAGACCTCTGTGTTCTCAGAGTTAGATGCATTGAGACATTGGTTTTAAGATTTATTCACATATTTATTATAATTCAAGTCAAAGGTGGTCAAATTATTTTAGTTTAGACACAAACATGATACAGATTGCAATTATCTAGGTGCATTGACAGCAGGGTTTGGGGTGGGGGTTTGAAAGAATGACCCTTTTGGTTGGAAATAGTCTATTCTTAATCAAAATTTGATCTAGGCTAGTTTTCTCGTTATCAAAATTTGACTAGGCTATGAGCCATTTTTCACATTGGGTCAACTAAGTTGGGGACGAAAGCTCCACATTTACAGAAAAGAATTCTTTTGAAATAACTGGCCAAAGGCCTGATAATCAGTGGACTGAAATTATTTAAATGGGCAAATATCCAAATTCTTTCTCTTGTGTATTGGTGGAGAAAGGACCACCATGGTTTTAAATTCCCTTCTTTTGTATGTAGCATGTCTGCCATCATCTTACAGGGGTTTCCTGCCTAACCCGTACCAAGTCCCCCGTCTTAGACAGCTCAGTCCTTTGTCCTCTTCCCTCTCATGCTAAGTCCAGGCATACTTGAGAAGAAGAGATATGTCCACTCAGTGTCCAGTGAGTGTCCACTATGGTGGATATTACTCTGCGATGACTGATCACCAGTCACGTAGTGCATTATGCCTACGGAGAGGATTATATATTAGAGATATGAGAAAGATTATCTCTTTTCAATTATAAATCTGTGCTGAGTCAACGAAAGCAATGATTTTGAGTACTTGCAAGTGTTAATTTAGCTCTATGATGAAATATGAAATCATTTAATAAAATTTTGTAAAAGATGTTTGTCATATGATCAGTTTTTTTAGAAAGGAGAAAAGGTAGCTCATGTTTATCAAATAACTTCATTTTTTCCTTTTAATGTTTTAATGTAAAATTTTATCTCCAAATCTTGTGGCAGGGGTTGTAAACACCTGAAACACGCAAGTGTTCAGTTACACAAGGTAGTCCTAATTCACCTTTCATATGAGATTTATGCAAAAATATTGGTCTGCTGCAGCAAGAATAAATCTAGAGCTGCTACACTACGGATGAGAATGATTCACAGATGGGACTGATTCTAGAAAAAAAAAACCCTTCCAGTTAATTACTCCAGGTAAAGAACTGTTCTGGGTGGTCATCAGGAAGACCAGTGTGAAGAAGTAATAAACTTGTCCTGAACCTTTTACCTGGGCCATGCTTCTTGCTTTGTGATATGTCTAGTTGGGGTCCATGAAACACATATTCTTGAGTTACTGGTTTTGGGTTAGGGGATGGGGGGTTGTGATGATGTGGTGTTAGGCAACTAGATTTTTAACAAAGAATAGAAAAGTCCAGACCACTATTACCTTTGTCTTAATATGACACATTTTGGAACTTATTCCAGTCTGAAGTGGTTCAAGTCTGAACTAGCTTACCTGAGTTGATTGCAATTAACACACAAGATGCACAGCATGTTGATAAAGCAATGAGTCAACATTAATTGTTGATGGGTGATTAATTTCCTGCACCCATGCTGTGTACCAAACAGGTTAATTGCAATCACCAATGTTGGACAGGATCTTTTTATGGCAAAGATCAATGCAAAATGGGCCTAAGTGAGTTTTATGTGAATACCCCCTATGGTGAACATCAAAGAGGAGGCCATGGAAAGTCTACTGGACATGGTCATTATCATGTGCACTGGGTGAAAGTGATGGTCAGGCGAGTGGACTAATAACTAGCATAAACAAAACCAGGCTACTGATCTGGTCTGATGTGGCTGGTGTAATGGGCGGCAGCACACCTCCGTTCAGTGGTCAGATAAAAGAGATAGGAACAATGGTGGTAATTTCCCAGGTAGATAGGGAGTCTTCACTGCCGATTATGAGCTGATTTATCATGAAGCTGTTCGGCCAAGTGCTTCCCTGGTGACTATTCTGGCTGTTATCCTTTTTTCACTCCTTCATTCAGAAATGAGAATGTCAAGTGATCACATTGGAATAAACTTTTGTTGAATTTTATTGAGGTCTCCTTTTCAGTTTGACTCTCTTTTGATAGGAAGATGTATTTTCAATCATAAAAAAATTATAAGAAACATGTTATGGCAAGAATACCTAAAAATTGTTTGACTGATACTCAATTTGAAGCAGTTTGTAATTTTTCTGAATTAATAGAAATTACAACCGATCAGACTCTACATACTCTCTCTCTCTCTCTCTCTCTCTCTCTCTCTCCCCCCCCCCCCCCCTTGGGCATTTGCAACCTGCCATTGCTTTTGTTTGATGAAGAATTCCCATGACATGAATTGTGGTGTAATTAGAAAGTGTATAAAATAAGGTAATTTGCCACCAGAATTATTTTGATTAGACTGGCACCTTATCTCTGTTGTGATTGCTCATATGCTCAGATCAAATTTTGTTCTTGTTTATTTATTTGAGAAATTCTTTTGTTGACTTTTGTGATAGGTTTGTTTGTTGATGCGGTGATTGGGCAAGTGCTACTGTAGGTTATATAACTCTGTGTCTGAATCATTTAGGTGTGCACATACACAAACATGAACACATTTCGAAAGTGGAAAAACATTATGTATCCAGTAGAAAATTACATGGCAAACAATTTTTGCAGCTTTTGGTCAATTTTGATTTGCCATCTATTCCCAACCTTTCTGTGTGTTGACATGAAAAAAAGAGAAAAAATATTTATACAAAATGCAAATTATCAGTGCAGGGATCTCAATAACATCCAAGCCATTTGGAAATTTATTATGAAGGTTAACAAAGACATTTTCTCCCTGGTTTCACAAACCTGCATTCTGATTTAATACGTGGAATTGGACACAGTGGTACACGTTTCTCTATGAATTATTGCTCTAGAGATCTGCTGTTGGATTACGCAGACTTCCCCAGCACCTTGGATTGATATGAATAAATAATTAGCCACCTGCAGGGCTAATCTGGTATGAATTATGGACCATTTATATGACAGACATTTAAAGTTTGCCAGTGTTTTACCTTTCTCAGCCTCTGTGTAGTTTATTGTTATGCGTGCGAACATAGATTTTGAAACATTAAAGTGGATATTATACAATTTGATAGTAGTGTATTGATATCAGTCAGTTGATTGCTTGACCTGAAACTGGAGACACACCTGAAGTTAACTCCGCCCCTCCCCCCTTACTTCTTTTTCATTACATAACTTATGAATGGAAATTTTTTATATTTTTATAGCCTGGTCATCATTGCCAGCTTGCTACAATTTCATATTCAAGTGTCTGTTACAGATGTGTGAGCAGATGGTTCACTTTTTATATTATACCCCATTTATACTGCCATTTGGAAAAATCTAGATTTTTTTTTCATTAGAATTTCTAGTGAAAAACTAATTTTTGTGTTGATGCATAATAGAGTGAAACAAATTTCTTATCCCAATATCCAGATTTACCATCATTGGTAAATCTGCTGTGGTGCATCTATGCCATCTAATATTTTTAAAAAATGACATTGAATTTCTGATTTCTGATATTATTATCATCACGTGCCATTTCCTGTTATTTTGGCTGTTTAAACATTTAACTTAGTATGCGAGAAACGGCATGTTTGCTTGAAAACACCAACTGGGAATTTTGCTTTGAAAACCTCCAAACTTTCTCATTTCTTTCCCTTCTGCATAAACATTGAAATGAACCTGGCAGATACGGGGCAAATGTTTACATCCCTGACTGATAGCTGATGCAGGACATTATCCTTTTCTCATGTTGAAGGTATACTCTGTTTTTCATAGATATTATCAGCTTAATATCCTATGAATAAACCCCACTTACCAGTGGACTTTCTTAAATTGGAGTTAAATCTTTGCTTATGGACAAGAAAGAGGAATAAAACATTCACTGTGATGACCGTAATTACTGTTTTGTGGGCAGAATATTTTTATGCCTCCTGCGGGTATTAAATGATAATAGGTATATAAAGGGGAGGCTAATGTAAAAGCTCTTTTGGGTGATCTTCATCATCTTGTTGTGGAATGGCCACTTCCTATGATTACAATAGAAATAAAATTGTCATTGGATATGTCCTTCAAAGCACTCTCACACACAGGTATGATGGATATGGATTGTCCTTTCTTTGTTGATGACATATTTACTCCATTGATTAATGTAGAGTGCTCCCTTTTGCTTATCAGTTTGTCATTTATTTCTCAGTCATTATTTATTTCTACCTGTGCCTTGACTGCTTTCTCCAGGTGACCCCCCCCCCCCCGTCTCTGCTTTAAAATACCTTATCTGTGTGACCTGTTTAATGTTTTATTACCACTTTGTAAAACATACATTTTAGATAATTGAACAAAATTAAAGTGAGTGACCAGAAAGTGTTATGGTCTTTGACAAGAACAGCTTATTATTATTATTATTATCATCCATATTGCCGACTCACAGAAAGTCTTCCTCGCATCCCATTGAGAGACCGCCTCCAAAACAGACATTTTAGATAATTGAACAAAATTAAAGGGAGTGACTGAAAGGGGTTATGTTCTTGAACAATGACAGCTTGTAGATCATTGTCATTTCTTTTGTTGTCATGGTATGGGTGGCCTTCTTCTGGGGTGGAAAAAGTCAAGAGAAAATTCAACCTGTGATTTAAGTTGATTTTGTAATTGGTTAGCGAGACAGACGAAATATTGCCCCAAATTTGACACGAGGAGGGTTTACACTTCCTGAGTTTTTCATTAGTAATTTCATCGGTATGTGATATGAAAGGTTTTGTGTGGAGGGACTTCTCTTGTCATGCTGGACTGGGAGGAAGTATTACCTAGTGGAGGGGTGACAGGTTGTGAAAAAACCTTTCATAATTTGCCGTCAGCAATTGATAACAAAGTAAATATCCCAAATTTCTGTTTGTTGATCCAGGCTGACAAAAGCAACACTGTGGTTGAGGTTGTATTGTGCTGTGTCACACCTTGCTTAGACTGTGACAAGGACACAACCATTTCATGAAACGGTTATCAAAATACCCGCATTTCTCTCTCCATTCTCCTGAGCTGGCATAAGTTACCCAATAGTCAGCTCTGTATTGTTGACACTCAGCACACTTCTTGTACAAGTCACAGAAGCTGCACTGTTACAAACCTGTGTGTCACGGATTCCATTTCAGTTTTAAAAACACCCCTTCGCCCACAGGGTGCTCAGTTTGTATATTGATGGGCAGAAGATAGAGAACATTACAACTTGAATCAGCTTTAGGGAACTGCTTTACTAAAGGAAAAGCCAATTTACAGTGGCCATACTAAAACATAGAGGTCTCTGCTGAAGCACAGGAGTCAGCTTGAAATACTTGTGGATTCAACACTGGTTTTATGATTAGGAAGTTGCCTGGATTGAAACCTGAGGTGAAGACAGGCAGTCACTGTAGTATTCCACACACAGAGGTGCCGACAGCTTGTGGCTCCCCCTTTTACTGACAGGGGGCAGCGGACACCTGAGTGAACACATTAGTGAGGAAAGCCGTGGCAGGCAGTGTAACAAAGCAGCCACTGTCACGCTAACTGGGAGACAGCTCTCATAAAGTTGGGGAGAGATTGACACAAATTGGATAATGGACCAGTGGGCTCAGGAAGCCGGAGGAATAGTGGTGTGTTAGAGATACGGAATATCTACTCATTAAGTAAAGGAACTGAGGGAAAGTTAAAGACAGTGCCTCCTGCACTTACGAACTCACTGAACTTGAGTCCTGTGGAATGTCAGATATATTTGATATCCAATTAGAAAAGAAACGTGTGTTTACTGTGCTGTCTACCGCTGATGTACATAGTTTGTAAACAGAATGTGGAGATTAAAGGAGGCAATACAGCTGGCTCTGGCCCTTGGGCTTGTGCTACTGAGTTTGAAACCTGGAAATTGTAATAAATATGGTGAGTAGAAAGCCAGAATGCAAGGGAAGAGGTTAGAAATGAAACAGTTCAGTTTGATATTTTCTTTGCCAGTATTAGTGACTTTATGAATTTATGGGAATAGTTTCTTTCATGAAATTCTGAGTTACTTAGTTAAATAATTGAAAATGATACAGAGGTTCAGTTTTGTAGGTTTTTAGTTCTTGTGTTTATTTTTGATTTTGAATGGCACCTGAAAATCAGGTTTTGGTCCTTCTCTTCTTCAATGAAAATAAGGTAGAATTTTGCGTAGATAACATTTTGGTTAAATATGTTGTAATTTATTTTTTGCCATTCATCATTTATAACCCCTGTACCCCTTAAGCCTTTACAAAGTAGAAAACATGCTAGGGATCAAGAAGTGGATAATACATCATCTACTTACGAGTGGAAAATTAGTAGACGTCGTGATAATACTAAATTTATGAGGTCAGTGAATCATCAATCTATATCCTTAATTCAGTTTATGGTAAGCACTCTATTGAGGAGAATATAAATATATTCCTTTACCAATATGGTTATTGCCCATATTTCCCCTAGGCGGAATATGTGTACATATTTCCATCGTGCAAGATAAAGTGTATTCATGAATAGATGAGCCTCTAAGGCTGCTTAATGTGAACCCTAGATTGCATACCAAGGAAAGATCAGAGAGTATGGCACCTGAGGGTATTAACAAGGGGGGAAAAGTGAGAAAAGAGATCCGCTTATGGTCTCATACATTGGTAATTTCTTCCAATACAAATATCACCTAGACCGTACAGCAAATATTTGTCATCGCATGTGCAGCTGCCATTTATTTGCCCTGTGTTCAGCGTGTTCACTCAGCATACCTGTGACGGAACCATGTAGCAAAATGCCTGGTTATAATAGAGACATCTTTATGAGATGTTAGGTTAATGTGATGATAGCATGTCTCCTCATGAGCCAATGTGATGATGGGATGAATAACAACGACGATTTATTATTCCTCGCTTAACTGGTCGAGCAAAGGCAGTTTTCTTCTACAAGTAGTTGCTATAGGAGCACCTCAGTTACCTGTCACAACTGGAGTAACTTGAACTAAAATATGTGGTTGGTGCACCCTTAGTCTCAGTGATAACTGGAAATTGACCTTCAGCATCACTCTAACTGTGAAGGTTCTCTATTATCTCTGAAACTCAGGGTGGCAAGGTGGGGATCCCTGTACAACCAGGTTGTTTGATAATGTCGTTTAGACTGTTTCATGTTTAAGTTAGATCAGTTGTGAGCACATCCTTGATGCCACAAGGGCCTCTCTTCGAGGAATTTTGTTATCTTGTTACCTGTAAGTTATAAACAAGCTAGGTATCTTATGAGCTGCTTGAAAGTTCACAGGGGCAAAGCATCTGGGTTTTCAGTGTGTTTTGCATTGCAGCTTTGCCCCTAGTGCAGCCCTGCCTCCTGACTTCTGCATGTTTGGCGTATATTTGTAGTTGAGCCAGCTGGCAGTTTTTTTGTTTTTTTTCAGAGCATAGGGTATTTAGATCAGTTCACTAAATTGCACATGACACAGGCTAGAAAAATGTTGCTTCAACCACCCAAAAAACCCTAACCACAAAACCTGATTAACATTATTCAGTAGTTAAGTACTATAACTTTGTGGTAATGGTTTTTTAACTGCTGTTGATAAGTTTGCACTGGACTTGAGTTTCACTGAGCGTAATGCATCCTTTTGATGGTTTCCATGGAGTCAGCCACTGTGGCCAGCAAACTGATATAAAGAATTTATAGTGGAGGCCATTGCTTCATAGAAATAAACCCTCCTGCTTATTCCTCTACTAAATTGGCAACATGAAGCACAGGGTGTTTATGAAAGTTGTTTGAAAGCGACGGAAAAATTTAGCCTGTGGTTGCGTGTCTTATCATCTTAATCAGGCTGCAAAGCAGACACACCAAAAATAAAAGTGAGATATTGGTCTTTAAAAAGAACAGAAGATTGCAAAAAAATGAAAAAAGAAATTTAGGTATTAAAGGAAGACTGTGGGCCCTTTGTGAAGATAATTGGGTAGACGAATGCATATATTATCCAAACTTTTAACAGAGCCAATTTAAAATAAAAAACACTCCTCACAGGAAGTCAATTACATGTTATGAATATTCAGAATTCTGATATTGAATCCACTCTATTCCGTTCATTATGCAGGAGAAATAGAATTTTGATAATAGAATTTTTATGAGAAATTATCTTAGTTGTTCTAAAGCAAAATACCGTGAAGAAAAAAAGGGATCATGGTAATGCCCCATTATCAGCATTGTGTATGGTTTTTTCATGCTGTTCACTGGCGTGGATGATCCAATATGAGAGACTGACATATGTGCTGGCTGGGATTCCAGCTCAGAAGTCAATACAAACAGTACATGTTGAACACACGGAAAAAAAAAGTATGAGGCAAATCAGGAGAATACAGTTTATCAATATAAAAACAATTAATCATGTTTCAGGCATCCTTTAGAAAGTCCCATCATTTTAGCCTTCAAGTAAAAAGTCATAACTCTTAGGAGAATGGTACAAAGATGAATTTGATCAATATAGGCCTTTACACGCCAGAGAGAATATTAGACAATGCTGCAATCCCCGATTTCCACTCTGATACCGCGGAGAAAGCACTATGAAGTATACTTAATAGTAGACTCCAGTCAATATTTTATCTTCCTACTTCAGTTCATCTACATGACAAATGAGATATGCGTTAAGTTTTGTAGTCCACGTGTCATAAAAGTTTCACAGGGCTGTACTTCGTACTTCCATCACTTTCAGAGACCGAGGAAAATTAATGAGATGCTTTGGCTGGTAAAGTGTGCAGTAGCATTTGTCATTGTCCAGAGGAGGCGGGTGTGATTGTGTTTTGACATTGTTAAATGTTTTTAGTTCCAATATCATTACTGATTGCCTTCTGCTCTGTGTGAAAATGGATATAAATTCACATTTTCATGGCTCTCCCATGTCAAAAATCTACCAGCAAGGCTAAAAATGAACCAGAAAGTGGGGAGAGCATTTTTCCGATGAAAATCATGAGACAAGTATTTGCTGTTTTGAGCACAGATTTTGTTCCGATATTTCTTCAATGTTGCAACCACAGTTATTATTCTAATGTGGTCAGTAGGAAATAAAGTAATTAAATGTATATAAATCATTGTGTAGTAGTAGTAGTGGACATTGTTAACGGTCATCCTGGGTATGATGTAGTATGGTAGTATAGCATTAAGCCAGCACAAAAGGTCGTGGAATATTACTCTGTTGGCAAGCATTGTACTCCTAGGCCCTAACAGATCATATTACCTGGGCATTAATAGCATGAAGTCACAACTGTATGTAAATGAATTCCATATTAGTTCTTTCGACTGACATTTACTTCCAAGTTTTTATTGTGTTTTATATTTCGAGGAAAAAATGAGCGACCCTTGTAAATGACAACCAGGGAAAGAGCTTGGCTAAAAAAAAAAACGCCCCTGGTCTGAAAAGATTTCAGTTCATCTTCTGGTTGACATGTTTCTTTTATGAAATTTCACCTTCTTGTATAAATGAGTCGTTCAAGCGCACTAATAAGCTATTCATATTACCTCCTATTCAGGTTTTTCAATCCAAAAAACCTGAGAGTTTGTATGGAATGAATATTTGTATAGTTTATAATACATGGGTGCGCTAGCAGGTTTTCCTCCTAAATTTTAGTCTAATCAGCTTTTGACCGTGAAAAAGGTAACTGTACTAAATAGGTCTGGTGGCGTTCTAGAAAATAAATACACCACTGTTGATATCAAAACACGGCTTAAATTAATCAAGTCAGTCGCAAGTCCATGCTTAATTAGATGCCGGCAATTCTGCTATTATTTGCCTGTTTTTATAATGTTTCTTGTGTTTGTTTAATCATTAGTATGGTATTATTGAAAATGCGTCTCGGCTGTGTGGGCCTCTGTTGTTCGGAACGTGGGGAGTTTGGGTCAGGGAGGGACTGAACAAGAAGGTCTATAAAAGCAGTGCAGGGGGATTTGTGTGTTTAGAAGAGAGAAAGAGTTTTAATATTGGCTAAATGTTGCCGTAGCCCTTGTATGTATTGGGCAACATAAGAAATCAATTAGAGAGTGGCTGTGTATGATTTGTGCCATGGTCTGATGGGAAAATGGACCAAGGCATTATGTTTCTGATGGAATATGACAAGTTTAGGCTGGTTGCCTGTATTAACTGTTTTGTGTCATTTTTTCTTAAATTGTAGATTTTTGTTGTAAATATATTTAAATTATGATTCAATTCTGGAACTAAAATTAGTCAACCTTGCATCATTGCAGCTATGACTGTTGTTTTTTTTAAAGGCCAAAGTGTCAAAATTCCCTTTTGGAGATTCCCAAGTACTATTTTTTTTAATACAGCTAGTCCTTGAATGAGAGAGGGGTTGGATCCAAAACTCCATATTCTTGACACTTAAAGTTAAATGCCTAATGACTTAAGTTAAACTTTTTACTTCTCTCAGAATAATGCACTAACTGCAGTGCAGCTCAGTTTCACAATTTCAATCAAAATGATCATATTTTTTTCACATTTTGTTCCAGCAAACTGCCGCGTTCCTCTTGGTATGCAGTCGGGTGCCATTCCAGACTCTGCCGTCACAGCGAGCTCATCGTTCGAAGAGGAGAGCGTAGGTGCAAAGTTTGCAAGGTAAGTCGAATTTTGCTCATCGAAGTACATTAGCGAATGAGTTTTCTGATTAACACTATCCTTCCTTTGGGTTGAAGTCCGATCAAACATTCAAACATGCTATTTTAAAATGAAAGAAAAAAAGAAGCAGAAGTGTTATTCTCAAAATTACCACAGAGATGATAATTAGCGTAGGTGGAAACCTAATATAAGTAAAGTTTAAGTAACATTCCAGACCTCCCTTTTTTTGCGAAATAATTGCTTGACTGGTTGGTTCTGAGAGATCCATTAACAGAGAGTATTGATCTCTTGGTTGGTTTAATTAACAGTCTAGCTAGTGGTAGATGGATCCCTCCTCCATGTCCACACTGTCTTTGCCTCCACACATGATAGATTACTTTGATGTTAACATAGGCATAGAAAAATGCTCTAGGAGAATAATTTTCACTCCTCTCTTCTAGTTCTGAAATTAGAAGTTTATGAAAAATTTTTTCATAAAATTTCCAGATTTGGTTTTCATCTGTTAATGTAATTAATTAAAAAGGAAAGTCAGTAATGGTAAAGTGATTAATTTAGTGTCTCATGCTGGCCAATTTGATGATATAATAGTAATTATGAAATCATCAAGATTTATAGTTGTGTTCATGAGTACCAGTGTCAGTATTTTGATAATCAAGAAATATGCTACCAGTGCTGTCACTGCCACCATGGCTCACGTTACTGTCATGATTGTACAATTATGTTAAATATTGGACAGCTTGTCGCAGTAGGTTCAGCATAGTTTGATTCAATTAGAAAAAAAATTGTCCGTATGTTACATTCACATGTGTCAAGTACGCTTACCGCGGAGTGGTGTCTTACCGACCCCGATTGCACCAGATGTTGTGACACAGTGGAAGTTTTATAGCTGTCTGTAGGAAAACAGAATTAATTATTGCAACATTTTAGTCAGTCTGTCTGGGCAAAGACTGATTTACATCAACCATAAAGAGCCTCCAAGTCATGGTCAGAATCTTCCCATACCATTACAATGGCGACATCAACATTATCAATAACACATTAAAAGCAATATCAAAGCCCAAATGAGAATCTATTATTAGTTTTTTACCATACAGGTCACCGCGCGTGTATCATTGATGATAGTGGAGAAAATATATCTCTTAAGCTTGTGCACTTTTTGTCTAATTGCACAAATTGTCTAAGTAATTCTGAGGAAGTGTGAGAGAAATTAACAGCAGAGAAAATTCCTTGTTGGTCAGCCTTATTGGCTCTCCAAAGTAAAATGTTGATAAATGTTTGTCTAGGTTGCTTTTTTAATACGAAATATATATAAGCCTCTCTCTGCATAATATTTCTATGGTTCTGAAAATGGCGACAGAAGAGATGGGTGTTTTTAGGTAAACCATTTTTCCATGGCAGTTAAAACTGCAGGTTATCTTAGGTGTCACCCTGTCAGAAGAAAGATGACATTGTAACAAGGTAAAGATGTTATGTGTTGAACACAGATAAGGCTGGCTGGCATGTAATAATAGAACCAATCTTGGATCTGATGTCATGTTAACACTCAAGCTTTATGTTTCTGGATCTGATAACTTATTCACCTGGAAGCTGATGTGTCCTGGTTAATGTGCTTGACTACATCAGAAGCTTTATAGAACATATGATAAATCCGATAGTAAAGGTCCATGCATACGTTTTGAAATATTTTAAGTGACCTCACAGATTGTCATATTAATATGACTGGTAGTCACCACTCCAGTGGTAGCCCATTTAACTGAATTGTTTTATAAAAAATAACGTAAGAAGATGTCTACAAAGAGGTGAATTTCATTCAGAAACCTTGCAAGCTTTAGAACTGGTACAAAGTTGAAAATTGAAGTTAGACTTCTGCTGAGCTGGTGACAGTTGGGTGTTATATCTGTGAGAACTCTTTGGAACCCATTTTTCAGTTGTCAGTGGAAATGCACCCACAGATACTGAAGTAGGAACTAAGCTGAATGCATCCTAATGGAATATTGCATGATATCCTTTCTTACTATGTCTTCTCCTATTGTTAGTTTAATAGTACAAGAAGGATGTGGGATGTTACGGCATAAAGACTGAAGAAGTTGGCCTTTTCTTTTCTTTTTCTTAGGTAATTGTCAGTTGGTATACTGGTAAATTAAGAACATGGGAATGCATAACCATAAATCATGGTATGAAAGGCTATTTTCCAATTTCTTTGGTTTTTGATGACTCCTTTGCATGTGATGCACCAGTCATGAATTGTCCATCAATACATTTTTGTGGCTTTTTTTCTTTTCTTTTTTCAGTAACATTACCATGTATTCGTGCAGTCACAGGAGAAACAGTTATTTTCAGTTCCAGTAAAAGCGCGTAGTGTTTCATCTTCCTGAAGTTACAGAAATCTGAATCTTTTCAACTTTCATGAACTCTCTGTATGTCAGAGAAGCTGAGATTTTAATTTTTCTCATGGCCAGTTTCTGTCACCGATAAAGCATATAATAAGATGGACAATGTTTGGCAAAAGAGAGTTGAATGACAATTTGATCAGTAGATATCTCCTGACTGGTCACTTTGTTACAGGTGCCAATCTGTATGAAGATTACACATGGCCACTGAATGGCCAACACCTTTATCTGAATCAGACAAGACTTAAGAAAACAAAGAACTTGAATATGGATTTTGTATCTTGATCATTGGAAGATAATATACTAATTTAACACTTGGGTATCATTTGTGTTCCAGATATTTAACAAGTTCTAAAGATTTTGAACTTTTTAAGATTTTGGTATTTCCAAAAAAAATTTACCTGCATCATATCACATAGAATTAAAGCAAGTAAAAATATGAGAACATTTTCATTTAGAGAATTGCAAAATGCATTTGGAAAGGCATTTTGTGTAAATCAAGGAGATGCACTTTCTTCCTGCATAGAAACTAATATCCTGTGGAGATTGTATAACAGAGTGATTGCCCAACCCCAGGCATGCTTTAACCCTCTCAGCTACCTGCGATGTACTGATAGCTCGCTGACGGAATCAGTCTGCAAATAATAAATTTCATTAATTCCAAGATAAAAAAATCATGGAGGTCTTTCCTTAGGTATATAAGGTCCATGAAAGATAAGGAAAAATACAGGTAAAATCCCTCATCCAGATAGGTAGGGTAATTTGCTTTTTCTGCATGTAATGAATATCCGCCTTGTTAGTTTTTTTCTTTTTCTTCCAGTTTTTTTCCTCTCTCTCCTGCTGGCCCAGGTTACGTATTTCACTCCTATGCACCAAGGCACCTTACACCTTTCATAATGGTGCCCACTCTACTGAATATCTTACACAGGATACTAGAGGATAAAAATCTTTTTTATCTGGACTTTCAAGTGATACCTTAAAGATAACCCATAACAGGTGACAAAACAATTTTCAAATCTCATGGCATATTGCCGAGTTGAATTTTCATCTGGATAATTCCTCTTTGCTGAGTGAGCTGCAGTTTTTTCTTTCTGTAGTATCAGCAGCCTGTTTGCCATCTGTAAGTTGAAAATCCTAACTACATTATTTGTAGATTAGAAATAATTTTTCTGGCAGTGAGCTGGCGTGCACAGTGGAAGGAGGTATGGATAAAGGTTGTAATTGATGGAGGGGGAGATAAGGTGATCCCCATACACCTGTTTTATAGATAGGCAGGGAGAGTGAATCTCATTAATCATATTATTTATTGGAAAGGGAGCGAGTTTTATGTATTTGTGGTGCCAGGCACAACTGATTCAGACTTCAAAAATAACCAGAATTGTTTATTTCTCAGCAATAAATGACTAAAATGCTGGGAGGAAAATGGAGAAAAAAAAAACAAAAGAAATTGGTCATCTCCATGTTTTGAGTCCCAGCTTCTGTCTGTAATTTCCCAGCTCATGGTAATTTTGTATTAAGTAGCATGTTGCATCATATTGCCTTCAGTGATGCACAGTGGTCATCTTAGGCAGCAGGTGCTGGTCAGTATAGAGGCTAACTTGCTGTGATAGCCCTGTCATTACATTCACTATGACATCACCATGGGTGTATATTATCATGGTGGTCTGTTTTCTATCCAGTGATACAATATATAGTGTAAATGTCTGTATGTTAGGATATGTATGATATTTCCTGGGTGTTTGTTAGTGCATGCCTATTGAATGTGATCTTAAAATACAAAGCTTTGAGGCATTGTTAAAAATGGGGTTCACAATGATTAGATTGATGCAAAAAATGGCATGGGTTTTCTAGATCAGGGGTGAGATTTTGATTCACATATTATGAAGGTCAGGAGTCTTAGTCCCAGTGTGTCCCATGTTGGCATTATAAAGACAAAGCAGATTCAAAAAAAAAAAAAAAAACTTACAAGTTGAAGAAAAATTAATGGGCTTCCGTTTGGCCACAGGAATGTTTTTCATAAAATAGTTTGTATGTGAGACGCCATTGTTTCAGTACATGGCATGCTGCAAATATTAGGGGAGAAAAAAGGGTAGAAAAATTCCCTAGTCTTTTGCCACTTTAATTAGTGTAAAAATGAGAAGAATTTCCTCCCCATTGAATTGCCCATTTATCATGCTTGCTGTATTTTCAACACCGTCCTAGCTGGTTATGTTTTTTTTCTCCTCTTGAAATTAAGTTGGTTCAATGATTTTGTATGAAACTCATCAAAGTAATCAGCAGCATGTCAGCTGCTTGTCCCAGACTTGACACATGATATCTTTTCTCTTACAGAACAGTAAGCATTTTAACAATGCTAGGAGTCTTTTTAGGGGTAGTTTAACTTTGAAATGGGAAAATATTTCAAATGAATGTTTTAAAATAAAAACTGTGTGTGCCGTTTGATTCAGAATTATGCAAAGCTTTTCTGATTATGCCTAGGTTTAATGCAATATATTTTTCTGATTTATTTATCCATCTGATGAGGTAATAAATTAATGAAACAAAAGTGAATATTAGATTAATTTGCAATGAACATATGGGCTGAGTACAGTTTTTTTCCCTAGTGTCTGA